AACAATCTTCAAAAGCTGTCACATTCGATTGACACTTAAAAAGTATCAAGTGTCAAAACACCGAGAAACTCTACCAGATTAAAGGAGATTTCAGAGATGTGACAACTAAATATAACATCATACGACCCTGGACTGAATCTTGGTCTAGGAAAAAAGTTATTTCTCTACAGACAGAATTCTTGGGGTAATTGGAGAAATTTGAATTAGGTCTATAGATTAAATAATGGCATTATATAAACGTCAATTTCCTGATTTTGATAAATTCAACTGTGGTTATGTAAGAAAATACCACTGTTTTTAGGAAATACATACTGAAGTATTTATGGGTAAAAGGGCACCATGGTGCAACTTACTCTTAAATGGTAAGGAAAAAAGTTACACAGAGAGACAGTGAGAGAGAAAGATAAAGTAAATATGGTTAAATACCACCACTTGGGGATTTGGATGAAAAGTATATGTGAACTCTGTACTACTTTTGCAACTTTTCTATAAGTCTGAAATTATTTAAAAATAAAGGTAGTTTTTTTTAAAAAAAGACAAAGTTTTCTAGCCCTTTGTGCTCAGATGTCCCCTCTGAGGGGACACTATAAATCTAGCAAACCACTCGGATATCCCCTTTCAGGGGACATGAGATTGCTGGTGATTATACCGGACATACTTATACAAGCAAGTTTTTAAAAAATGTATGTTTTCTTAAAGTTTTCCATTGAAATTGCACAAAAAAAGCAAATAGATGGGAATATATACTGAGATATATGTTTTTTAAAAATCAGCCGGCATCACTAGAATGTGTGAAGTGCTTTCACAGTGGTGCTGACACTTCTGTGTAACAGAAGGTAGTACAGAGCGTGCTTGTGTAAGAAAGGCAGCTGAGGGTATGCCCTTTGTATCATATGGCACAACATGAAGAGATGCATAATCAAGTTACTGTAGCCTTAAAAAAGACTTTCCACATTGAAGGGTGATCGAATATATCTATCTGCACTAAGTCAGAAAAGTAAAATTGGAAAAGTGATATTGTGATAAATTTCATTTTGATTTTTTAATTTACAATGAGAATTTTTTATTCATTTATTTAGTTTGCAGAACAATGCAGAAGGAAAAGACAAAAGTGAGAGTTATAAGCAGCAGCAAGGATGAGTTTGATTTAGACTTCTATACTGATAAGTTAGAAAAAAATAAACATTGATGTGGAAAAAACAATAGTGATGGTGATATCATCCCACCAAGAAGAAAACAGGTGAATAGTAATAGAAAGTGATAGTGACGAAAGTGTTAGTAGTTTTGAAGAAGACAATATATTGTCAAGAATGGGAAGAAGTCTCCAGGGAGAAAAAATTTGGTTTATGTCCTCAAACAACAAGACCACAAATAGCTAGTAATGTAAGAGGGCTATTTTACTCTGTATTTTACAAATGAATTAGTGGATAGTATAACAAAATAAACAAATTGTTATGCAGATGCAAAAATAAGGAAAAAGCAGCTATCACACAAAGCAATTTGGCAGAAGTGGCATGATGTTGACTAACAGGAATTTTTTAGCTTTTATCGCAGTTATCCTAAATATGGGAATAATTCAAGTACCAAATTTGCAAGAGTATTGGTCAACTGCTTTTTTTTTTTTTTTTCAGTCGGAGTCTCACTGTCACCCAGGCTGGAGTTCAGTGGCATGCTCACGGCCACTGCAGCCTAGACCTACTGGGCTCAGGCGATTCTTCCGCCTCAGCCTTCCAAGTAGCTGAAGAACTACAGCCACGTACCACCATGCCCAGCTAATTTTTTTATTTATTGTAGAGATGAGGTCTCACGAAGTTGCCCAGGCTGGTCTTGAACCCGTGGGCTCAGGCAATCCTCTCACTTTGGTCTCCCAAAGTGCTAGGATTATAGGCATGAGCCACTGTGCCCAGCAATATGCTTCTACGTATTGTTTTAAAATGGTGAAGGAAACTACTCTTCTGGGAACTAGAAATATATGTTATTAGCAAACTAATAAAAAAAAGATAAACCTATGTCCCATTCGAAATTTGTCAAGCTTCTGCTCCATCAGTTGGAAAGTGGTTTTCAGGAATCATGAGTGAGTCCTTCCATATCGTCTTCAAACAACAGACTGGACAATAATAAATCACATATTATTGATGTGGTAGGAAGAAAATGAGACTGCATTGTCTGCTCGAGTAGAAAAACACTACGTGGAAGATATCCAACAAATTACTATTGCACAACATGTATCAGTGAACCCGTAATGCATGTCAGTGACTGCTTCAAATGCTACCACGCATTAGAAAAATATAAGATACAAAATTTTGATTTTTTTTGTCATAAAAGAGTTCCTCAATGCCCACAATTCCATTACAAGCCAAATATCATTACAATAAAATATGTTTCCAACGCTGTGCCATTTAGCATGAAGTGACTTATTTTTCACTATTTGTAAAAAAAAAAAAAAAAAAGTGCAGCTGAGTTGCTGGGAGGTGATCTGTAAGATGTCTTCGAGTGCAAACAGCTAATATTTCAATTGTTCAAAAATCAAAACAGAAAAAGCTGAACAGAGAGAGGGAGAAGGAAGGAAAGAACAGAGATTCCATTCAGTCCCTACTTTCAGGAGAGTGTTAATCTATTTTAGCAGCAAATGGGGCATGCCTAACTATCCTGCAACTTTGGTTCTTATGGACACATTGCCCCAGAGAAAACATAATATGAAAGTGCTTCTCCACACTGTAAAGAAAAGCCATACTCTGACAATGACTCTCCATGATGACTCTCCAATCAAGGCATCAGAATACAGAACAGGCTCAGTGTGATCCTCTGCCCTGAAGGTTTCTGAAATCAGGATGCATTGTTTCTACTAAGAAGATCATTCTTATCAAAATAGCCAGACAATTGCCACAGGATAATTATGATTTATAATTATTATTGTTGGTGACTGTCAATGATGCTCAGAGAAGAATCAGCTTGATTTTCAAAGTCTAATCCTGAAGAAGGCAATTACAAACTTGTTTTGACTAGTTAAAACGAACAAACTTCACACAGAAGTCCCAAAGGAAAAATCTCAGAGGTAAGAAATGTTAAATTGGCCTGACTCAGCATTTCTCAAACACAAGTTATAAGCACAAAGTGCAGGCGGCAGACCTTTCCAGAACCAGAAGGCCAGGCCAAAATCCATGGCCAACGACGAATTCTAGGAAGGAGTGTGTTGCCCCCAGACCATTCAAGTCCAGAAGGAAGAATGAAGTTTTGACTCCTATTATCTCTTGAGGGGCAAGACAGCAAGCAGTCTCTTCTGCAATCTCACGAACACCAGCTTGATACTACATTAACATACCAATGGTCCAAGAGACCAAAGTTAATACCCGCAGAATGAATAAGTAAAATTCCCTACCTCTGGCTCTACAGATTTCTGGTTCAGTTGGTTCAATTCCAAGACAGCAAAAGGCTCAAACTTCCTCATCTGAGTGCTTATGTGCTCATCAGTCATCTGGGCCAATATGATGTATGATGTGATGTACTATAAGACCATGGTGCTGACAAAGTCAATTCAGTAGTGGTCTCTTAATACCAAAAGACACAAGTGGTTGGGCAACCCCTTCGGGTCCCCTCCCACCGTGGGAGCTTTACTGTCCTCCCTATAGATCCTGCTTTCTAATAAATAAATAAATAAATAAAAGTGGTTTACAAAAAAAGGTATTCAAACAGGTCAAGGGGCCAGGTATGGTGGCTCACCCCTGTAATCCCAGCACTTTGGGAGGTCAAGGTGGGAGGATTACTTGATCCCAGGAGTTCAAGGCTGTATTGAGCCTCGGTGACATAAGCAAGCAAACAGGTCAAAACAACTTTGGTAACCTTTAATCTATGTTATTCTAGGCCTTATGGAGACTCAATTTTGAAAATCTGAAATAAATGAAGGTCCCCATTTCAAAAAATGAACTGTAGTCAACAGAAATATGCCTATATTACCTAACAAGTTATTTTTCAGAAGGAATCCTTGAATTCAGAAATGTATATCTCACCAAAAAATTTTCTCAAAATAATCTATTTCAGATAAATCAGGACAGATGCACTTGTTTTTCCTCATTTGCCAAGTCATTCCTGTCCATTTCATTATGATTAGCATCTTCTATAATCGCCTAATTTACAATATTTGACTCACTTGAGAAATCCTGAAGATCACCCAAACCCAACGCAAAGAACTTAAAAAATTAGCTGAATGTTTCTTACGATTTCCTTCTTTACTTCAAACACCTTTTCTGCCCAAACTGTCAAGATTTTGAAATCCCTGGAATTATCTTCTGAGAGCACTAAAACCAGAGAGCCAATAACTGCATTTCATCCTGAGCATAAAGCATCACTTGAACAAATGGGGGTGGATTCTACTACAACAAATAAACACAAGATTCTATCTGAAGGTATAATTTTATTAGTTTCATCACTGGAAGGAAGATAATCTCAGTGTAAGCATTCTTTCTTTCCTTTGCTGAAATCTGTAAACAGCACTCTTCTGTATGCAAAACGCTGTTTCAGTAACTAAGACATTTTCTAGTGTGGTGTTTTAAAAGGCTGGGTTTGCTCTTATTCTTGAACACACTATTACCTAACCCATCTTTCATTTCAATTGGTAACTTGCTGAGCAAACCCTTTTTGTGCATTTTATATAGGGTGATCTCAGTCCTAGCTTCCTTCCCACCTGGTCAACCTGCCCTGTATAAACGCAGCCACGCAAGTCACATGGGGCTGCTCTGCCTCCCCCACAGCTCACAGGTGTGTGAGGTGAATTAACACCAAGTGTAAGATGTTCTGTAAGTGGAATAAGGTCTGTAATACATAACAAACTATATTTATCACATATTTTCAATAATTTGTTTAACTTGGCATACGATACTATATTGTTAGCCTGCTATTAATATTTCAAATTCGACATATTATAAGGGTCCCCGTTAAAGCTTGCTAGCAACAGCATTTCTCTATCATTCCCGGTGCCAATAATTACAACAGAACGTCCCACGTCTTCAGATAACTTTTTACTAGGGAATTTCAAAGCACTCATAAGCAGTACCTCATTTTCTCTAACTGAATAGACACAATACAATTATGAAACTGGATGGCAACAAAACTCAAATGGACTGAACAGAAGATGTCAACTCAGGAAAAGTATATTTTAGTCTCGGGATGATCAGTAACTTCCAAGAACCTCCAATTTATTCTCACCGGAAAATATGCCCTGTGCAATGTAAAAAGTAAAAGGCAATTGTTTTAGAAGAAAGAATGCCATATAACAGATTTCAACATAAGTATTCTCAAGCGGTTAAAAAAAAAGAGACAAGAAATGTGTCGACATCTTAGCATTAAATAAATAACTGCAAAAATGTAAATTATTTAATAAACATCTAAAATATGTTCATATTTTGATCTGAAAATGTGCTGTCGATGCAAATCAGCACATCGGGTAGCAAACTGTGCTACCTGCCCAAGGCTGACAAGCAGCGACACAGCTGCTCTCCTGCTCCTCCCATCCCAGAAGAGTCCAATCCCAGCATATTTTGAAAGTGTTCCAATATGATAATCAGATGTATCCATTTAAACATTTCAATCCTCTTAAACTATCCTCTAAATTGGGTCAAACTAAGCATTTCATACAAAAATCCTGACACACAGCAGGAAGTCCCACAGAACTAACGATGTGGCAAACTCTGACATTCTCTTGGCTTGGCAGATAAATCAAAACAATGACAATCTTAAAAAAAAAAAAGGAGGCTTTTCCCTCTTCCAATTAGCAGTTTAAGTGTTAGAGCTGAAGTAATCACAGTTAGAACAAAGAAACACACACATACTCAAACTCATCCCACAATCCAGGCAACTTTCATATCAGACATGGTTGAATTTCATCACAAGCAAATAATTTAATGATACCTTTGATATACCTCTCTCTCTCTCTCTGATATATATATATCTTCACAAACAGGAAGAATGCTCAGGCAAGGACACTACTTCCCTTTGATGTGAGATAAAAAGCAGCAGCCACAATTTTAACATTTACTCTGAATGAAGTCAACATTAACCCCAAAATAATATATTGGGAAACTGTGTTGGTTTGATGAGGCAAGGCCAGTTCCCACCCCAGGGAGAGTAAGCTGTCCCCATGACAACCTGACCCCATTTTTTAGTTTCCCAAACCTTTTTCTGCTTGAGAGCCACGAGCCTGAGTTGCTGCTGAAAAATTTAATTTAAACTTAAGGTATAATGATTTTTTACCTTTCTTCTGAAAGATTAGTTGAAGAGGACACAAATGACTCACAATAAAGTTTTGTGTTTGAGGTGATCGCCACCAATACGCAAGTTTGCAAAAGTACTACTGCCATATATATTTGCTTTAAAAAATTGATTATGACAAGCTTCAGGTAAAAATCATCTTTAAAGGGTTCATTTTCATGTACATATAAACCAATACATCTTATTTACATACATATAACTGAATTTTTATTCCCTTTTCTTGATATAAGGTGTGTATTTTAACTGGTAATTGTTATATACTGTTTTTTATAGAAAGACTAAATATCCTCTTATTTGCAGGCAGATTTGATGATGCTAGTTTGCCTCCACATTAAGAACTAAATATAGTTAAAACCTTATTGAATGACGTGAAGATTAAGATCCAGTATTAACAGCTGTCTATGGGTCACATCAGTTATCAAGAAGTCAGCTGCCTTGCCTGCATTAATTACAGCTGGCAACAAGACAAAGCAAATGATTCTGAAGACCTTGAAAACAAAGTGCGCCTTACAAGACATTCACATTGCTTAATGCTGTTAACGATGTGAAATTTCTTATACTGGGTTCTTTCTTCCTTTCAAAAGACATTGATTTTTGTAGTGATATTTAGTTTTAAAAAGGCATCTTAGTTCTTTAACCCTCAGAGAACTAGCATATTTAGGCAACTAACCAAAAAAATAATCAGACATATATCTTTGCCCATAGTTTCCAAAGGGTTAAAGTGCAGGAATTTTCTATATCCTGTTATATAAGGCACCCTATTCCACTTTTTTCTTAAAAGAAACTTTTTCTTTGGTTTCTTGTAACTTTTCAGTGAGTCTATCCTTTGTTTCTTCCATTTTCTCGGTGATAAGCTCCTTTGTCTCCTCCATCCTGTCCTGCAGATACTCCTTAACAGGTGGTGGTGTGGACATGTAGCCATGACTGCGGAGATACTTCACAGTAAAGGACGTGCCTCCCAAAGTCGCAGTATACCTGGCGGGTGTCGCAATCTTAAGAAAAAAGCAAACAGAGGCAGATCTGATTATGACCATATTAAGCAAAAACAGGTTAAAAGTAAAATTCCTCGTAATAACACTTAGCATGAATTACCCCACTGTTTCTTTTTATTTTTTTTGAGTTGGAGTTTCACTCTGTTGCCTAGACTGGAGTGCAGTGGCCGTTCCTGGCCACCGTAGACTCGGCCTGCTGGGCTCCGGCGATCCTTCCACCTCAGCCTTCCGAGTAGCTGGAACTACAGGCGCGCGCTACCATGCCCAGCTAATTTTTTTGATTTATTGTAGAGATGTCTCGCCAAGTTGCCCAGGCGGGTCTCGAACCCGTGAACTCAGGCAATCCACTCACTTCAGCCTCCCAAGGCATGGGATTACAGGCTGAGCCACCGAGCCCGGCCCCATTGTTTCACAAAGCTGATGTAATGATATCCTATACGGTTTTCCCTCCTAACAAAGGATGCTTCTTCTGTAAACTCATTTTATGAATGATTTGTCCCCTACACAACCTGACCCAGGATCACAAAATTATTGCAGTAGGCAGCACTGACGTCCCTAACTGTATGCTAGTGGGCCTGGGGGCAGGTTCATGCAGAAATCAGAAAAGAGGGCTCAGCACCATTAACGATAATTACAAAAGAACACATGTTTCTATCTACTCCTTAAAACCCCTACCAACCTGCCAAAGGCTTTATATATGGAGTGAAACTAGAGTTGAACTTCTTCAAATGGTGAGAAGCAGAACATAAATCAAATGTTCATTCTTTTAGCTTTATTTCCCTTTCCTGTGACTTTTCCAGACTTATGCTTCCTTCCCATGATAACCACCCTGAGTCTGGAATCCTCGCCAGAAACCTCTGTGAGGTTACACAGGTTTAACTGATCAGAGCTTGTAAGGACCAAACCTAACTAGTAGATGACTGGTCCAAGAGAACCATAATAGCAAAGAGCTGTATCACAGTCTGACTCAAATCGCAGGTGTGCTCCACCTCCAGTTTCTCTCTCAAACTCACACTAGCCAACAACTTCACCCTCACCTCTCACCAAAACTGCTCTTCAACAGTGTGACAACACTTGGTCCCTGGACCTCTTCTACCCCACTACCTTGGTGGTCTGTCCAGCTTCATGTCTTTGCTGCCACCTATACATTGATTATTCATAAATTCAGATTTCCAGACTGAACCCGTTCCCTGGACTCCAGCGTATACAAGCACCTACACATTGCCACTTACATGTCTAATAAGATCTCAAAACTTAATACAGTCATGTGTCACTGAACAGCAGGGATATGTTCTGAGAAATATGTCATTAGGCGATTATGTTTTTGTGTGACTTATCTCAGAGTGCACTTATAAAAACCGAGATGGCATAGCCTGCTAACACATCATACATCATACAGCCCATTGCTCCTGGGCTACAAACCTGTACAGCATGTTACTGTACTGAATACCACAGGCAACTGGAACACCATGGTATCTGTGTCTCCAAACATCTCGTTGACCAAAACGTTATGTGTTCATGACTGTATGTTCAAAACTGACCACCTGATCTTCAACTGTCCCATTTCAAACCTGTTTCTCTCAGGGTCCTTTCCATCTTGGGAAACAGCAACTCTATCCGTATAGTTGTTTAAGCCAAAAACCTACAAGAAAGCTTCAACTCCTCTTTGTTTACAACTGAACCATCAGAACCATCAGCTCCTTCGTCAAAAGATATCCAAAGTCCAATGCAAACATATACCACTTTTTACTGCTGTTCCTGCTACCATCTGGGTCCTGTCCACTGTTACCTTCCACCTAGAATATTGCAATCACCTTGGCTTCTCCTGTCCCTGCTATGACCGATTCTCAATATGGTAGCCAAAGTGATTTTGCTTAAACAGGGGTAGATGCTTAAAACTGCCCACTGGCTTTGGAGTAAAAGCTGAAGTTCTCTTAAGGACCTACAAGATTGCCCTGATGGGAGGGCACTCCATTCTCTACCCTGTTTGGCTGGCCGCTGCTCCCTGCTGTCCCTCAAATACTCCCAGGATCCTGCAGCCTCGGGACTTTGCCCTTGGGGTTTCCTCTTCTTGGATGCTCTTCCCTCTTGGACCTGCCAGATCAACTCTCACCATCTGAACAAGGCCTGCCTCTAAAATTGGAACCCGCCCCCTGAAAAACACATATTTATCACAAAGGCACTCCCATCCCTGGTTTTCTTTCTTCTTAGCATTTACTGTCATTTAAATGTACACATTTCATATGTGTGGGTGCATTTTTAAAAAATGTGCATGCATTTCTAACTTTACCTTCGTCTCTCCAACCTCTTCTCTACTACACCCCCATTCATGAGGCATTTTGTATTTTCCTTAATTAGTGCATTCTTAGTACCTAGAATGGCACTTGGCACATAGTAGGGGCTGGATGATTTGCTGACTAAAACTATGGGTTAATTTTTCAAAGACAGCATGAAGGAGTTAATGAGTGCACCCCAGTCAATTGCTAGGGGCCACATTTGAAGTATTGATTTATCATCTTCATCACATCTCATTTTGGGGCTTTGCCTTGATGAAGCACTAAATCTGGATTTGTTTTCTATTTGAGAAATGGTGGGTCACAGAAAATACACAAGAGAATCCCCTCCACATTTTCCACTACACAGAGGCACAATGAGGAGGAAACATCACTGGCACTAACCACCTATGCGTGCAGACATGAGCTGAGTATTTATGCACTACAGAGCATAGTACCAGAAACAGTGAAAACACAAAGAGAAAGAGTTCCTAGAAGATTCTAATCAAATAAAGAAAACAAACACTTAAAAAGTCCTCTAGTCAAAATTACAACGAGAAAAATCAACCAAAATTTCATAGAATTCTAATAAAAATGACAGAATAAAACAATGTTAATTTTGAATAATACTATAAAACTGTAATTCTAAGTATTCTAATACAACAGAAGTAAAATAAAATAGTGTCTGGTTTCCAAGCATTTTCTACCCATTTTCTTCTTTCTTAGGTAGAAGCTTCACAGAAACTCACATAAATGTCAATTTATTTATTTTTTAATTAATTTTTTTTTTAGTTGGAGTCTCATTCCATCACCCAGGCTGGAGTGCAGTGGCACGCTCACTCTACTCAACCCACTGGGCTCTGGCGATCCTTCCACCTCAGCCTTCCAAGTAGACAGAACTACAGGTGCGAGCTATGATGCCTGGCTAATTTTTTACTTATGGTAGAGACGAGGTCTTGCTGAGTTGCCCGGGCTGGTCTCGAACCCGCAGGCTCAGGCAGTTCACTCACTTCGGTCTCCCAAAGTGCTGGGATTACAGGTTGAGCTACTGAGCCCGGCCTAAATGCCAATTTAGAAAATGAGATTAGGATGGCTAAATCCCACAATTTTCAATCGGCTCTCTTCCAAAATAAAGACCCATCAGTGTAGAAACTATTTATAAAGACAACGTTGTCTGAATTCAGGGAACAGTTACAAAGATTATAAACTTCCAAAGCGAAACAAAGGTATTATGTAACAAAAGATCTGTCACACAAAACAATTTGAATTAAACCTTACTATTTTACTTACTAAGAAAAGATGAACTATTATAAACAGTAAAATAAATGCTAAAATTTGCCACAAGTCAGGAGGCATGTGGATCTTCAAAGAATATAAGGAAAAATAAAATATAATTATATCTTATATTATTTCCATTTACCAATAGGAGAAATGCCAAAAAGATGACTATTACCATGAAAAAATAAACAAGTCTAACATTCATCTGATCACAGTAGGTTATGAATGATCTACCTATTTTTAAGGCATCTCTTCCTAAAACCATATTTTATTACACTTTAAAATTTTATAACCAGCCGGGCTCGGTGGCTCGGCCTGTAATCCCATGCCTTGGGAGGCTGAGGTGAGTGGATTGCCTGAGCCCGTGGGCTCGAGACCCGCCTGGGCAACTTGGTGAAACCTCATCTCTACAATAAATCAAAAATTAGCTGGGTGTGGTAGCACGTGCCTGTAGTTCCAGCTACTTGGAAGGCTGAGGTGGAAGGATCGCCGGAGCCCAGCAGGTCGAGGCTGCGGTGGCCGGGAGTGGCCACTGCACTCCAGTCTGGGCGACAAAGTGAGACAGCAACTCAAAAAAAAAAAAAAAAAAAATCTTATAACCTTCCATTATTATTGGAACACATAAGAGATTACGTAGGGTATTTTAAGTTACAGAAAACTGTTAGGCGCTCACATGGACTTTATGGGGAAATAAGCAGCAAATCACCGGTTAAATGTGAGGAGTAACTGGTTTATCTGGTACCCACCTTAAACATGGCATATGCTGTTAGTGCATTTCCACTCTGGGAATTTTTCAGGATGTTTACCACGCTGTCAGGTAACCCAATGAATTCTAGAAAAGGAACCACATTCACTCCTCTATGAAAAAACAAAAAGCAATTTATATATATTCAAATTTTAAGGATATTTTCAAAAATTATCTGAAAACACTAAAACCACTGTTTACTATGGTTTGTATTAATTAAATTTTGCTTAAAAGTTGATTCTGCATTATCAAACACTCTAATTTCACTCTAAGAGAACATCTTACTTGATGTACAATATGTAACCATGCATACAGACATCACAGTCATGCTATCTTACCACCCGCAATTTCTAGTTTGCTTCTGCACATGGGCATTCTAGTTAGTATGTTTAGAAAATAGAAGCATTTATTAGAGCAAAATTAATAGATTTAAATAAACTGTGAGAAAAGGATCAGAATCATTTGATCTTAGTTTCCTCAACCAAATATGCCAATTCCTTAGAATGCTCCAACTCAAATTTCAAGACCTAAGATTTTTACCTTTAAAATTATATGTAATATTACATTGTAAAAGCAAGGGGGATATTTTAACATCACTTATTGTGCTATTATGCAAAGAATAAATGGTTATATGGGTATGATGAAAATTTCAATTATTCTAAAAAGATGCTTCTAGTCTATTAACAGACTTAAAAGGCAGGTGAAGAAGTCATTACTATAATTTGCAACAAATTTTTGGAGGTAGGGAGAGAATCTAGAGAAAGTCTCTAACCTCAGCTGTTAAGCCCTGATTTTTTTTCCAGTTTCTTGGTTATTAACATTTTGTTACAATGGCTGTCACCCCTAACTCAGAACAAGAACATTCATAAACATAACACGACACATTCAGGAAATTTAACATACACAATAGTATATAGTTAATACAATATGTTATTTAATATATAATCTAGAATAAACTGTCCTAAATTGTCCAAGTATGTCCCTTATTGCTATTTTTTCTATTGCTCTAGTCTCCTTTTCTCTAAAAGTGCTCCCCAGCACCTTTTGTTTCCTTTGGAATTGCTAAATGTGAAGTGTTAATGAGGGTCTGATTTAAACAGAGTCATCTAGTTTGTCACTTTCTACTCTGAAATCCCTACAAATGTTTCAACAAATGTAGAAACCCACAAGGATAAAAAGCACATTCACCATCTGGATAAAGTGCAGTAAATATCAGTCAAGATTTTGCCTCAGAGTAGATCTGTGACTTTAGGGACTTGAGGCCCCAAACACAAGGCACCTAGACATAGGGACACCGCCATCACTGCTGAGCCACACACGACTGCAGAGGCCCGCTGGTCAGAAGACAGAAGGTCTCGGCAAGCTTTTGCCAGGTGGGAGAGGCAATGAAGCACAGTTTAAAAGAAAACCTATTAGCATTGCACAATTTAGAATTCCCTGAAATAAAGTATTTCAAAAGCTTGAGAACTTTATCAATGCGTTAATTAAATATAGAATGACATTTTGGTTCACCGTGCCTAGAAAGGCAGTAATGTGAGCTGTCAGAGTAACTAAGACAAACACTGGTCAGTAATGCAGTGTGATATGCCCATTCTTCCAGCCCCAAGCCATTTTCTCCCCTCTCTTTTATTAGTAAGTAGGCAACAAGCAAATAACAAAGAACTTTTTCCAGCTTAAAGAAAAAGAAAAAAGCTAACCTATAACTAGCTTCTTGTTAGTTGAATTGAAAACCTATATTTAATACAATTGACTTCAAATTTTACTATAAAGTTATCTCACAGTGAATCTGTTATTTGAACATATTCTAATTCCTTCTTCTTTCATCCATGAGTTCTATTTTCTTAAGCATTACTTATTTTTTGTTTTTTGAGACAGGGTTTCACTCTGTTGCCTAGGTTGGAGTGTAGTGGCACAATCACAGCTCACTGCAGCCTTGACCTCCTGGGCTCAAGTGATTCTCCCAAGTAGCTGGGACCAGAGGCATGCACCACCATGCCCAGCTAATTTTTCTGGGTTTTTTTTTTCTGGAGAGATGAGGTCTTCCTTTTGTTTCCCAAACTGGTCTCAAACTTTTGGCCTTGAGCTCCTGCCTCGGCCTCCCAAAGTGCTGGGATTACAGATACGAGCCATCACATGCAGCTTAAGCCTTAATTATGCTTAAATCTTCACTTAGACCAAATCCATTTTTAATTTTTGAAGTATTTAATAAAAATCTTAAGGAGGACTGCCCTGGGAAGCAATTCATCCTCCTAATATAAACTAGCTATGTGATGCCATGACAGAAGTGGCTCAGTGGTGACTGGGCTATATTCTCATGCTGACAAACAGGCCAAAACAAGTTGTAATGAGTAAGAGATATGATTTTAAAGTGGAGAGTCCTACCACAGAAGCATTATGCAGAAAGAGGGGGGAAGGATAAAACTAAGAAAGTTGCGTTTCACAGGGATGACAGACCATCAACCACAGCTGCCTTAGGTGCCAGACAGCACTATAAAAAAAAGCTTAAGTATGATTCATGTTATTTTGGGTCTGCTTTTTTAGTTATAGAACTCTTCTACCAAAGAAAACAAGGAAAAGGAAAAGGAAAAAAAGTATTCTTGTTAATAGCCCAAATGAGAATTCCATATTCAACTGATAAAAAACCTAGATTTCTCCTTCTAAAGCAAGGAGACTTGAATGCTTGTTAAGGGCAACTTAAGAAGGGCAGAGGAAACAAATAAGTATTCTTTATGTCGTCTTCTACAGCCTGTATCACTCAGTGACTCAAAAGAAACTTTAACAATTCAAAAAAGAAAATGTATTGTACAACAATCCCGTCATTAAACAGCAAGACTGAATGCCTACACAATTTTTTAAAATTCAAAATGATGTAATTTTATGTTCTGTCAAAAAACTAAGGACAGTTTTGAAGACTTCTATAGATATTAAACGTGTCTAGAAAATACTATTAATAAAAAAAGAAATAATTCCATTAAGTATATACATAAGAATCTTCTGCAAGGAAATGCACTTTTTTTTTTGAGTTGGAGTCTACTCTGTCGCCCAGGCTAGGGTACAGCGGCAAGCTCATGGCCACTGTAGCCTCGATCTGCTGGGCTCAGGTGATCCTTTCACCTCAGCCTTCCAAGTAGCTGGAACTACAGGCACGTGCCAGCATGCCTGGCTAATTTTTTGATTTATTGTAGAGATGAGGTCTTGCCAAGTTGTCCAGGCTGGTCTCGAACATGTGGGCTCAGGCAATCCTCTCATCTTGCCTCCCAAAGTGCTGGGATTATAGGCGTGAGCTACTGCGCCTGGCTTGAAATGTACAATTCTTAAAGAAAATGATACACAATGAAGAAGGATATAACTGATAAAAGATATGAAGAGAAATAGAACAGTGTCAATTACCCAAGGTGAAGAAAACCCACATTATTTTAGAAATTTTGTAAAGAAACCTAGGTAATCCTATGTTTCCAAAGAATAATTACAGTCTCCATTCCATCATCCTGAGACAGGCATTTTTAACTTAGTAGGTAATAAGCTTCTTCTAAGAGTGAGCTATATGCACAAAACCACCATATTTTATTATGGCCTTGGTATCAAGTCATTAAATACAACCAAGCATGAAAATGTCTTGACTTTGGAAAGTCTAAAATAATTCTAAACCCATTAGGAGATTTTACTGAAGTATCAAAGTCATTCACTTGCACTAGGCCCAGACACTAGTGTTCCTGTTCCTAAAGTAAAGAAAATAATTTCACTTAAAAGGAAGAAATCATATTTAACAAGAAAAATACATTTTAAAACTTTATGTTTCACGACACTGGGAAGCTACACCCACAAGATTCACTTCTCATCAGAACAACAGACCTTACCTTGACATGTTGTATGTGAATAATATCAAAGCATGAATCTACAACTGATGCATTTTTCTGTCTCCAACAGAGAGTAGCTAGACTTTGGCAAAAATGTCTTCTGAATTTCCCACCAAAACCGTATTTGTGGCAAAATAAATCATTTTACATTTATGAAAATTCTGAGAAATATCTAATTATGGAGTCAAGATGCTGTCAAATTTCTGGAATTTGGTATTTCATTTCTGTGCTCTCCTGAATATTGGATGAAATCAAGCACAGTGATGAGGAACATGTGATTGTACTTTGAGATCAGACAAATCTGAGTCTTTAGCATAGGCTCCACAGCTCTTACCAGCTGAGTTATTCTGGAAAAAGTTAAATGATTTTTACTTCTCCTTGCCTATCTGCTTTCTCATTCATAAAATGGGTATGACTGCACAACCTGTTTGATACAGTTGCTGTAAGGATTAAATGACATAGTTAAAAACTTTAATAAGACACTTGCTGTACACAGTAAACCAACGTCAGCTATTACTAAAATAAAGTAGTTATTCTTTATCAATAAAATACACCAAGGTACTTAAAAATCTATTTAAGGCTATCCTTAACACAATTAAGAAGACTGACATTTTGATAAGACATGGAAAGGCATTTAACCAAGCAAAAACTTACTTTAAGGCTGCATAGTAAAATGTTCCAAACCAAACACCAGAAGTTATTAGATGCACTGGAATCAAAACTTTTCCATATTGTCTAAATGTCTTCTTAAAACGTTGATAAAGACTAATAGATTTGTCTTGTAAAGGATCAGGCTCTTCCTTTTTTCCTGGAGACCCCTGGGTTGTGGCATTGGACGAAAAAATCCTCTTGGATAAAACATCTTTCTTCCATCGCCTATGGCGAAGGACTCCTGGTTGGGGCAGATGAGCATCTGATGGCTTCCTTTCCTTTGCAACACACTGAGCAGCAGTTAAGTGCAACCACTGTTTTTGAGGGCTTTGTCCCAAAATCACCTTGGATACAGCATTACAAAAAAGTAAAGGTGCCTTTATACTTTGACAGTGTCCAAAAAGACCAGCTTTATGTGGTTCTAAGCACGTCCTTTGTGCCAGTCGAGATACAGTCTGTGGTACGTTCCATTGCATTTTGAAGAAAGGTGATAGAGTTCAGCTTCTAAAGAGACTAATTTTAAAAAATTAGATAATACATAAAATGTTTCCATTTTAAATTAATCTACTTAAAAATCAATCATTTAATCAATCATAATTCCATACAATTCCCTTTTAGACTCCAAGCCCAAATCCACTAGTAAAATGAGGACTACTTCACAAGGTTGTTACTGGGAATTGTATCACAGAAGTGTCCATTATTATTACAAATGTTAAGATCTGATGAATGGTTGGTACCAGTATCATCTACAATAATACTGTTAGACTAAGTTATAAATCACGTATGTTACTGAATGGTGAGAAGAGACAGTCTGGTATTTACCTTCTTTGTCCCCCATATCAAGGGTAGAGAGAAGAAAAAGTGCACAGTGATGTCTTATTATTTGATTTGCATCAGTATGGAGTTAAGAAGTACACGATACTGGAACCAGGCACAGTGGCTCACGCCTGTAATTCCAGCACTTTGGTGGTGGAGGCAAGAGGATTACCAGAGCTCAAGGGTTCAAGATCAGCCTGGGCAACATAGCGAAATCTCATCTCTACAAAAAATTTTTAAAAATTAGCCGGGAGTGGTGGTATGTGCCTGTAGTTCCAGCTACTTGGAAGGCTGAGGCAGAAGGATCACCGAAGCCCAGCAGGTCGAGGCTGAAGTAGCTGTGAGCGTGACACTGCACTCCAGTGGCAACAGAGCGAGACTCTGACTCAAAAACAAAAAAAGAATTACAAGATACTGGGTGCAGCAGCTTGTGCCTATAGTTTCAGCTATTTGGGAGGCTGAAGTGCGTCCGTGAATAGCCACTGCACTCCAAGATTAGAGACTTTTCTAGGTAATTGCTTAGCCTCTCTAGACAAAGGTTTCTCCAGAGTTAGGAATAATTATAGTAACCCTTACTATATAGTACATTAGTCCCCTTCCCGCAACATCAGGTGGTATCCACATGATCCCATATCCCCACCCCAGGTACCTTACTAACATGTTGAGAGTAGAGATCTTAGTTTGTTAATTGCGTACTAAGAGTCAGTGAGATTTGAACTAGAGCCTCAATAAATAGATATTCCATTTTACATAAATATTCATTATCTGGGGCGCAAAGTTGACTGAGGGAACAGAAACTGTCATCATATAAAAACATCTATTAATGAGCTGACCACCTATAAAATTAATCCCCCGACTCACTCCTCCTAATAATTAACATCAGCTCCTGTAAGGCTCTCACAGATAATCCAACAACAAAACGCAAATAAGTTGCTAAGGGAACCTGCAAATCCTGCAGAATTAATAAGCTCTCAAGAAGCCTTTAAAAAAGTGATACAGGGTCGGGCACGGTGGCTCAAGCCTGTAATTCCAGGACTTTGGGAGGTTGAGGTGAGAGAACTGCCTGAGCCTGCAGGTTCGAGACCAGCCTGGGCAACATGGTGAGATCTCGTCTCTACAATAAAAATTTTTAAAAAAATTAGCGGGGCATGGTAATGCATGTCTATAGTTCCAGCTACTTGGAAGGCTGAGATGGAAGGATCATCTGAACATAGCAGGTTGGCACTGGGTTGGCCGTGAGTGTGCCACTGCACTCTAGCCTGGATAACAAAGTGAGACCCTAACTCAAAAAAAAAAAAAAAAAAAGTGATACAGGAGATTAATTTCAGACAAAGTTGACTTCAGAAATTCTTTGATTATTAGTGATAAAGAGGGGTATTTCATAATAACATGATAATAAAAAGAAGGCATGTATATGCCTAACAAGAAAAGATAAAAAATAAATGAGGTAAAAAATGACCTGAAAGGAGAAATCCACAAATCTGTATTATATGTAGTTAGGGACTAACAACATCTCTCTAAGTCGCTGATAGACTCAGTAGGCAAAAAGTCAGTAGGGATACAGTGAAAAAACAATATTAATCAGCTTGAATTAATTGACATTTATAGGCTATTTCATTCAACAGCAGAATATATATTCTACTCAAGTTTACATGGAACACTCAACATCACATTCTGTTATTTTTGTGAAGCACTAAGAATTCCTGCCAAACAACTTTGTATCAATCCACTCCTTGTCCTCCTTTTTTTTGCCTTCAAAAATTCACTTGTGTCTGCTGTTAACGGTAAGGTAGAGTCAGGGCAACTTGAATTAAACTCTCTGCTTACATTAATTTTGCCTCAGCTACTTCCTTGTAGGCGGACACATTCAAATTTGATAACTTAGATGAAATGGACCAAGTCTTCAAAAGACACAAACTACCAAAACTCACAAAAGGGAAATAAAAGATCTGAATAACCATGTATTTATTAAGGAAATAGAATCAATAATTAATAGCCTTTAAAAAAAAAAAAAGGAAGGCACCAGGCTCAGAAGATTTCACTAGTGAATTCTACCAATCATTTAAGGAAGAAATAATACCAATTTTCTAGAATCTCTTCCAGAAAATGAAGGCAGACAGAAATCTTCCTAATTTATTCTAAGAATTAGCCTAATACCAAAACCAGCTAAAGATAATCCATGAAAAAAAAACTACAGACCGGTGCGGTGGCTCACGCCTATAATCCCAGCACTTTAGGAGGCCAAGGTGAGAGAATTGTCTGAGCCCATGGGTTCGAGACCAGCCTAGGCAATTCGGTGAGACCTCGTCTCTACAATAAATTAGCCAGGCATGGTGGCATGTGCCTGAAGTTCCAATACTTGGAATGCTGAGGCAGAAGGATCGCCTGAGCCCTGTAGGTCAAGGCTGAGGTAGCCATGAGCATGCCACTGCAATACAGCCTGGGCAACAGAGTAAGACTCCAACTCAAATATATGCAAGTCAAATCCAACTAAAAACTAAAAACACCCTGAGCAAATGGGATTTAATTCAAACAAGGAAGGGTAGTTCAACATTTAAGAATTAATTAATGTAACCCACTATGTCAACAGGCTAAAAAACAAAACAAAACATATGATCAAATGAATTGATGGTACAAAAGTATGACAAAATTCAATGCCCATTTATGATTTTAAAAAGAAACTTCTCAGCAAACCAGGAGTTCTTCAAACTGATTCAGAGGATCTACAACAAACTTATAGACAAACTCATGCATAATGATGAGACTGAACACCTTCTCCCTTAGATTGGGAACAAGACAAAAATGACAGACATATCTCACTACAGCTATTTAGCACCTCTTAATTAGATAATAAGGCTAACAAAATATGTATGCGATCACTTGAGGAAAACTACAAAACTGAAATAAATGAAAAGTATAAATAAATGGGAAGCCCATGTTTATGGAAAGACTCACTATTAAGGTTTTAGCAATATGATCTATATTCAACATTAAAATCCCAATCAAAATCCTAGCAAACCATTCCTTATATGTCAACAACCTGATTCTAAAGTTCACATGGGGATACACTTAAGCCCAGACTTCTTTGCTATTATACAATGCATCTATGTAATAAAAAACCATTTGTACCCACTAAAGCTGAAATAAAAACAAAAAAGAACAATACCACATTTATAAGAAAAGTCAAAATACTTAGAATAGTAAACAAAATACTGAAGAACTGAGATTAAAATTTGTTGTAGACAGACACTACCAGATTTTAAGACTTACTATAAAGCTGTAGTAATCTACATAGTGTAGTGCCAAAAAGAAAAGACACACAGATCTTTGACAAAGGAGCAAGACAATTCAATGGAGAAAGGATGATCTTTTCAACAATAATGCTGGAACAACTAGACATCCATATGCAAAAAGAAAAAAGTGAATACAGATACAGACGTTCTATCTTTCACAAAATTTAACTCAAAATGGTTAACATACCTAAATGTAAACTACAAAACTATAAAATTTCTAAAAGAAAATCCAAGTGACCCTGGCTTTGGCAAGACTATTTATATATACCATCAAAAGCAAAATCCATGAACCAAAAACTGGTAAGTTGAACTTCACTAAAAATACAAACAGGTTGGGTACAGTCACATCTATAATCCCAGCACTTAGGGATGCCATGGAGAGAGAACTGCTTGAACCCAGGAGTTTGAGACCAGCCTGGGCAACATAGTGAGACCTCATTTCTGCAAAAAATTAACCAGGAATAGTGGCGTGTACTTGTAGTCCCAGTTACTTGGGAGGCTGAGGCAAAAGGATTGCCTGAGCACAGGAGGTCAAGGTTGCAGTGAACCGTGATCATGCCACTGCACACCACCAGCCTGGGAGACAGGGTGAGACTCTGACTCAAAAAAAGAAAAGAAAAAAAAAACTACTCTGTGGAAGATACTGCTAAGAATTAATAACAAGTCACTAACAGGAGATAATATTTTATATGATAAAGGTCTTGCATCCAATACAGTCATGTACCACATAACTACAGTTTCAGTTAATGACAGACTGCAAATTTGAGGATATTGTAAGATAACAGCTGAAAGATTTCTATTGCTTAGTGATATCCTTACACAATGCATTATTAAAGTGTTTGTGATTCTGGTGTAAACAAACCTACTGTGCCGCTAGTTATATAAAAGTCTAGCAATACAATTTTGTACAATACATCATACATGATAAATGACTATGTTACTGGTTCATGTATTTACTATACTATGTATTGTTATTTTAGAGTATATTCTTTCTATTTGCTAAAAAAAAAAAAAAAGAAGAAGAAGAAGAAGAAGTTGGCTGGGTGCAGTGGCTCATGTCTATAATCCTAGCACTTAGGGAGGCCTTAGGAGGACTGCTTGAACTCAGGAGTTGGAGACCAGCCTGGGCAAAACAGTGAGACCTTGCCTCTACAAAAAAAATCAAAAATTAAGCCAGACATGTGGCACGTGCCTATAATCTCAGCTACGCAGGAGGCTGAAGTGGAAGGACCTCCTGTCACCTGGGTTGGAGTATAGCAGCACACTTACGGCCACCACAGCCTAGACTTGCTGGGTTCAGGTGATCCTTCCGCCTCAGCCTTCCAAGTAGCTGAAACTACAGGTGCATGCTACCATACCTGGCTAATTTTTAAAATTTATTGTAGAGATAAGGTC